TTTAAAATCCATGCTATACCATATACATAAAACTTATTGAAATTGAGTGTTGAATGTTGATAATCTTTTTTTTTCTGCATAAAAATGATTTGTTAATTAAATATTTCAAAAAAATATATATAGCCCATTCGGCTACCTTTAGCCAGCGAATAAAATAATATCGCAGCTCGGTAAGGGAGATAGCCCCGTCTAGCAAAACTGAGGCTCAGTGTCCGCTCAGCTGGCTAGCGGCGACATTGCACATCCTCGATATATAAAATTTAATAAGAAGTTTTTAATACGTTTCGAGTGCTTTCCCGATCATTTTACGTTTTCAACGACCACTGCTTTGTTTTTTACGGACTCAGAACCCGCCAAACGTTTTACGACCCTTGCTTTCACATTGGACACCGACGATCGCCCGCACGTTTGACTTGGAATTGTTAATTTGGATTATTTCACCGGCTTGTGGATTGGATATTACTGAAACGATGGATCGCTGTGTGAATTGTGGGATAGCCACTAGTAACATTGTACCCCCTGCACAGTTCCTAGTCGATATTTTAATATTATTGAAGAGGAATAAAATACATATTCCATTAAAATTATTTGTTTTATTTTATGACTTTTATCACATACATAGTTCACTACTCCTGTTCCTCGTAAAATTCCATACTTGTTAACGATATTTGTATGTCTTTGAGTCTTTTTTGCCTTGTTATATATTCTCTTCTAAATAAAATTATTATTTTTTACATACTTTTAAGTGTATTCATCTAACTCTTAAAGATAATGCAATATAACCTCACTTTTACTGAATCTTCAATAACTCAACTATCTGATTGCCAATTTCTATAGAATTCAATGAAGAAACTCTTAATTTTGAACCTTTTAATTAATACATATTATTTTCATGTTTTTACATTGTGGGCCCAGAATTGTATGCAATACTTTCGATCTCCTTTGTGTGACACCAAGAAGACACGTATCTGAGAAAGAACATTTATTTCATAGAAATTTTCTACTTTTAGTGATTTGAATTTTAAAAGCTATCGAGATTCAATGAACTCTTTTAAACATTCTAGTAAACTTGATGTTAAATTTAAATATACTAAAATATAATATTAAATAATAACTAATAATTAATAAAACATTTCCAGAAAACAGAAGTCATTGATTGATCACATCAAAGTGAAGTATACGTGCCGTATATATTATATCTATTTCATTTAACACTCGATCAAAGACATTAGTTATTATGCTTCACTAAGTCGACATATTATATACTAGCTTTTGCCGCGACTCCGTCCGCGTGGAAAAGTGACTTCCGGCAGATTTTTGGTTCTTCCCACATAGTTCCCGTTCTTGCGGGGTTTTCGGAATGGTCGAGTTCCCGTAGAATTTTCAGGAAAAAACCTGTTTTTTTTATTCACAATGAAGTACTCTTAACCAACAACATATTTATTTGTTTATTTGAATAAAGATTAATATCATTATGTTGATACAACTTAAACAAATTATTTCGACCAAATTAGGTACCATAAAAACGGTTTTGTTTTTTAGATCATTAAAATAGCTATTATTCTTTAATACATATTTTTGTGTATCTTGAACCGTTTTCACGGCGCACGCAACGGAAGGCTTCAAAGATGAAATAATTTCTCCCGTTTTTTACACATTTACCACCTTATCTTTGCTCCTATTGGTCGTAGCGTGATGTTATATAGCCTACAGCCTTCCTCGATAACTGGACTATCCAACACAAAAAGAATTATTCAATTCGAACCAGTAGTTTCGGAGATTAGCGCTTTCAAACAAACAAACAAACAAACAAACTCTTCAGCTTTATAATATTAGTATAGATTGTCTTATACATTTACCTTGTAAAGGCGATAGTCCGTAAATTCAAAGGGTTGCCATGGGATGATTCCACATCTACGTGTCACTTGCTATGAAACCCTTTTCAAATAAAGTTATTATCAAATTGCTGTACAAGATATTAAGGTGTGGTTATAATGGGAAAATGCCAAATACATTTATGAAATACAATCATTGTAAAATAAGATATACCTATATATACATACACGTAGTGCCTTACATACCTTTTCTTAAACAAAAAAAAGAATATTTTTCATAAAATCATTATTTAATTTATTACATATTTCCAACAAAATATATCTCATGGTGCATTAACAACAACACTGCAAATTCGGAAAAAAAATAAAAAAGAATTCATTTATATTTCATAAGTTATCAAGTATGAGGAACACATTTAAAATTTTAAGAGTTCCGGGTTAGCATTACTATATAGATAAAGTATCATATAGAGCGCTGCTTACTCTACGAAACGAACACGTGTTCGTGTGTATCAAAAATTAATAAAATAAAACAAGAAACGTGATATTTTTAGGAAACTTCGGGAAAATTATGTACTCTTAGATATAGGATTTAAGTTTAGTTCTGCATTTTTTATTCCATGTCTTAGTGAGTTTCGTAATTTTTCTTCAACTTCTGTTACAACGTGAACCACACTTCGTATAATTTGAAACTTTTAACGTTTGTGTAGATGAGGAACACCCAGGGGTTTTAGTGGGTCGAAACTCCACATACCCCGGTCAAGTCCGCTCGGCCGGGTATCTGTGAACAGATTTCAACTGGTAAAACAAAAAAAAAACTTTTAACGTTATAAACAAACAAAAAATATTTTTTAATTTATTTTATAAGTATATAATATGGCTTGATTTCTTTTTTTTTGTGACACAAAACACGTTAAACACTATTTATACTGACTATTATCACAAGAGGGAATAGGAATTTAATTTTTGTTAGATATTGTTGCGGATTTTGATAGTATTTAACGAGGAGATATTAAAATCCGTAGATTAGTTGCAATGATAATTTTATTGTGTTACATATTTTTATGACAGGGTAAGTAAAAAATTAAAATTACAATAAACAAAGCGCCTTACATCTAAATCGTTCCGTAACCTCCATATACTAAATTGCTTCACAATTTTAACAGGCGCTTGCGCCAACAGATATACTTACTATTATACATATGTAGTATTAGTTTAAACATATAATATATAAGAAGAAGACAGATCATTGTCTTTCGAGTCATCTGTACATAATTAAGAAATTAACTTCATTGAGGTAAAAATTAACAGATATTTCTTGATTATAGGGCGGTACGAAGTCCACCGGATCATAGGTATACGGTTTAAGACATCTAGGATAGTTTTTGAGAAAAGTTTTAAATTAAAAAAAAAATATTTAAATAGAAGGTAACTATAAAGAGAACAATATACGGTAATATTAATTGAAATAATAATAAGCAGTTATAATATTTTTGAAGCTTTTATTTTACTATAAATATATAACACACAGCATTTCTATTCTGCTTTAATTATTTAAAAACTATTCTATTTATAAAAAGTTGAACTAGAAATTTATTGTATAGGATATAAAAATTATTCAAGTTTCATTATAGTTATTATAATATAAATTTAGTTTAATAATGTTTAAATCTTTTTTCACATTATTGATTAAATTAATATTCAACAATTATTCACGTACATGCTTTATTATGAGCTAAATGATAGTATCTTAATCTAGTAATTGAGTTAAGCGATTATTCTATCAATATTAAAATAGTCTTTTTTCTTTATATTTCTTTGCTGTATAAATTTATATTTTTAGCGAATTAAACAAAGTTTAGCAATTTAAAGTACTTAAAAGCTGTTAATACTAAAATAATAAAAGGAGATTATCTTTCGTAAGCGAGGGCGCGCGTGCGAGTGTCGCCGTAGCGATGACGGACAAGCGTTACACATCTAAAGTCTATGCGGACTGACGAGTGACGAGTACGGCGCACTGCGCAGTGCACCAGTGTTGCCAACTTTATTTTTTAGAGGATCGTACTATACACTAAAAAAAATAGTATTTTGTCTTGAAATTCAAGGAAATAATCGTACGCGATGAAATTTCAATAAAACTGCTTAAGTATATCAAATAAAAACGGAATTTAATTCTAATTTTCAATTAACATTAATCATCAATTAATATGTGGAATTAAGATATTCATTAATTACATATATTTTGAAAACATAAAAAAAATGAATTGCTTTAGTCAATATCTGAATTATAGGCACAGCAGATGCGGGAAAAGCATTATATTTTTTGAACATACTTAAATTTAATTTGCTCAGCATATCGTCAGATGGCTTGAAGTTTATACACGATACTTTTTCTTTAATATGTTGTGCAGCTAACAAATTCTTATTTACCGTTTCTGGAATACAGTTTAGTTTTAAATATTCCTTACAGTTATAGTATAGTACTAAATATAGTTAGTTATAGTACTAAAGTTTAGTTTTACTGTTTACACATTCCTTATAGTTTTTTATTTTTTCGTAAGACTTCATTTAAAAAATCGTATATTTTGCGTACGATTTCGATAACTCGATCGTACATCGTACAAGAGTCAAAAAGGTCGTATAAATATGATTTAAATCATACGGTTGGCAACACTGCAGAGCTCGAGCTCAGCTGGCCAGCGGCGACTAGCGGGGGCCAGCGGGGCTACAGGTGCGGGGGCCCGGACGACGCGAACTATAGACGCAGCGAGCATCCTCGATATATACAATTTAATAAGAAGTTTATCCGTCGCAAGAAATAAAAAATTGTGCATACGCCTTCGCCGTACTGTGCCGGACTGCCGAGGCGAGCGAAGGAATCACCACTTATATTTATAACCTCCGATCGAGACGTCCGATAATACCGTCTCTTTCTTGAATAATCTACACTCGCACGCTCGATCGAGACGTCCGATAATACCGTCTCTTTCTAGAGTAATCTACACTCGTACGCTGCTTGTTAGCATCTTAAAAGGTATAAATATTCGTTTTATCTGCAATAAAATTCATTCCAGTTTCAACCTCACTCGTAGTTTCATTAATCTCTGCACCATAACCGCTACATCTGGCGACCCCGACCAAGAAGCTGAACTCGTAGGAAACATTATGGAAGAAAAAAAGCAAGAAGAAATTATCAGCGGCGAAAATATAAGCGCAATCTCTGTACAGTCAAGACTACTACCGTTTTGGCGCGAATATCCCAGAGCCTGGTTTATTCAATTCGAAGCCGTCGTCGACCCGCTTAAGACATCCGATGACCAAAAGTTTCGCTACGTTCTGCAACAACTTCAATCAAGCGATCTCCAACATCTCACTGATATTTTATATCAGCCACCCGCCGTTGATAAATACCAAGCAGTGAAGACACGACTACTTGCCGCCTACGAAAAATCCGACGTCAAGAATTTTCAAAAACTCATCAGTGGTCTGGAACTCGGAGACCAGAAACCTTCGCAACTCTTAAGAAAAATGCGAGAATTGAGTAGCGGCATGGTAACAGATGAAGGACTTAGAATCGAATGGTTGAATCAACTGCCTACTCAAGTCCGTGTCGTACTATCGGTGAACACGGAGGCTGCCTTAGACACACTCGCCGCGATGGCCGACAAAATGTTAGAGTACACTGAACGTCCCAACATCGCCGCAGTGTCATCTTCGAGCGCAACAACCTCTTCTACACAATATGAAGCATTAGCGAAGCAAATCGAAAATCTTACCCTCGAAGTTGCTGAACTACGACGTGGTCGTGCTCCGTATCGCCAATATCGCCGTCCCTTTCACTCACGCTCACGCTCGCATTCGAGATTACGCAAGACCTCAAAAGTAAAGCCGGGAGATGCTACATGGGAATGCAAGTATCACTTCCGATTCGGTGATAAAGCGAAGCGCTGCGTTTCTCCGTGTTGCAGAAGAAATAAGAAGTCGGAAAACTAATGCCGACACCGACTGTGGCGGACGTCGGTGTCAACAGCACCAGTAAACGCCTTTGTGTACACGATCGCGACTCTCATGAACGTTTCCTCGTGGACACAGGCGCAGACATATCTGTATTGGCCGCCACTCACAAGAAAAGCACCAAGTCTTCAACAACCTTTACACTATATGCAGCAAACAGTTCACCCATCAAGACGTATGGAACCAAGACCATCGATCTAAACTTAGGTCTACGTCGCAACTTTCGCTGGACATTCGTCGTCGCTGACGTGAAAACTTCAATACTAGGCGCCGACTTTCTATGTCACTTCAAACTATTGGTGGATATATATAAGAAGAAACTAATTGACAAATCCACACAACTGTCAGTTGATGCCCTGGAAACCAAAATGTTTGGCGAATCAATCCACATTGTCAGCAGCAATCAAGTTTATCATGACATTTTGAAGCAATACACTAATGTTTTGCGACCAATGTCACTGAAACGACCGCCACAACATGAAGTGGTACACTATATTGAAACAACCGGGCCACCACTCTCCTGTCGTCCGCGACCTCTTCCACCGGACAAATACAAAGCGGCCAAGGAAGAATTCAACCGTATGATGGAGATGGGAATATGCAAACCTTCAAAAAGTCCTTGGGCAAGTCCGCTTCATGTAGTCAAGAAGAAAGATGGCACACTACGTGTATGTGGAGATTATCGACGCTTAAACGCAGTCACTCTTCCCGACCGCTACCCGATACCACGCATTCAAGATTTTACTTACCAACTTCACAACAAAAAAATATTCTCCAAGCTGGATATGAAAATGGCTTACTACTCCATCCCTATTTCAAAAGAAGATGCGCAGAAAACATCCATCATTACACCCTTTGGAATGTTTGAATTCAACTGTATGACTTTTGGACTTCGAAACGCAAGTCAAACGTTTCAACGCTTCATGCACGAAGTACTGAGAGGGATAGAAGGATGCTTCTGTTTCATTGATGACATTCTCCTGTCAGCTGAGAACGAAGAAGAGCATCAAAAACTTCTTCATCAAGTTCTTCGACGATTGGACACTTATGGCGTAACATTGAACTTGGACAAATGTGAATTTGGTAAAGAAAACATAAACTTTCTAGGCTACGAAGTATCGCACGCCGGCATCAAACCTGCAATGGAACGCGTGCAAGCTATAACGAACTATCCGAAACCCGAAACAATCATCGAACTCCGCCGTTTTCTCGGAATGCTAAACTTTTACCGAGATTGTTTACCTCATCAAGCTGAACTTCAACTTGAACTCAACAAATACTTACACAACAGAAAGAAGAACGACAAAACGCCTATTCCTTGGACTGAAAAAGCAGAATCAGCCTTTGAAAATTGCCGAAAAAGCATCACAGAGGCCACCACACTCAGTCATCCTCTACCAGGCAGCTCTCTCGCTATCATGACAGACGCATCAGATCACAGCCTAGGCGCTGTTCTCAATCAGGAAGTCGAAAAACACTGGAAGCCATTGGCATTTTTCTCTAAAACGATGAGTGCTACTCAGCGTCGCTACAGTGTGTACGATCGCGAATTATTGGCGATCTACGCAGCTGTAAAACATTTTCGTCGCTTAATCGAAGGCTGCGATGTAACTGTGTATACAGATCACAAACCGCTCGCTTACGCACTAACAAGATCAGCAAGTTCGACCGACACACCAAGACGTGAACGACAACTTAATTTCATAAGTCAATTCTGTTCGAGCATTAAGTATATCAAAGGAGAAGAAAATCCAGTTGCCGACGCATTATCACGGCTATATGAAATCGACTGCCCCACGACTATCGACTACGAACAACTTAGCGCGGACCAGCACATAGATGAAGAATTGAAATTATTGAAGAAACAACCCAATCTGAAATTTCGAGAAACACGAGAAGCAACCCAATCTGAAATTTCGAGAAACACGAGAAACACGACAGTCAGTATTTCAGGAGCAACGAATACGGTGAGAGGAGTTTCATCGAAGCGCACAGTTCCAGAACAGCCTTATACAACAAGAAGTGGTCGCATTGTTAAGAAAACTGTACGCTTCTCTTGAGGGGGAGTGATGTGCATACGCCTTCGCCGTACTGTGCCGGACTGCCGAGGCGAGCGAAGGAATCACCACTTATATTTATAACCTCCGATCGAGACGTCCGATAATACCGTCTCTTTCTTGAATAATCTACACTCGCACGCTCGATCGAGACGTCCGATAATACCGTCTCTTTCTAGAGTAATCTACACTCGTACGCTGCTTGTTAGCATCTTAAAAGGTATAAATATTCGTTTTATCTGCAATAAAATTCATTCCAGTTTCAACCTCACTCGTAGTTTCATTAATCTCTGCACCATAACCGCTACAAAATATTAAATTAATTTTTAATCAATTAATAAACAAATATGTATGTATAGAAATGGATATAAATTTACAATACAACACATAATCTAAGTTGCTCCGCTACACTCTGTTTGTATTCATGTTAAAGTAAACATATGAAACCTTTTCAAAGTATAATTTATTTATCACTTTTACTTTTAACTTTATTCATATCTTCCTTTTGGTTTATACATTTGCTAGAAGAAAGATCTTCTCTAAAGAAAAGTTTTATTTCTTATTTTCTATTTGTCCGTCGCAAGAAAGAAAAATATTAAATAAGTTTTAAACAATAATTAAACAAATATAATTCAAGGAGATGGAAACTGGTTTGCCCAAAATGTTATGAGTTCAAAATCGATTTAATTTTTTTTTGTATGAAATACCAAAAATCTGCATAAATTCTCAATCTCCAAGCGGAAAAATATGCAAATAACTGTTTTTATGAAGGAATCGATTAACGATTAATTAAATAAAAATGATTTTTCGATTATTTATCTACAAAATAAAAACTTCACTCCTAGTTTTAAACTTATAGTAACTTCATTTAAACTACACCATATATGTCTATAATTCAATAAAGATAACTTTTAATAATGTGTATTAATATGATAATAATATTTAACATTCTTTTCGATTTTCGATTCCATATCGATCGAAATCATTCAGTATATAGTCGTTGGCAAAATGACATTGACAAATGACACTTAAGTCTTAACAATTACCATGCCAGATGCATTGTTATCTGAGTCCGACTTGTTTCGTGTTTTTTGATACGTTTCGAGTGCTTTCCCGATCGTTTTACGGTTTTCAACGACCACTGCTTTGTTTTTTACGGACTCTGAACCCGCCTAACGTTTTACGACCCTTGCTTTCAGATTGGACACCGACGATCGCCTGCACGTTTGACTTGCAATTGTTAATTTGGATTATTTCGCCGGCTTATGGATTGGATATTACTGAAACGATGGATCGCTGTGTGAATTTTGGGATAGCAACTAGTAACATTGTACCCCCTGCACAGTTCCTAGACGATATTTTAATTATTATTGAGAGGAATAAAATATTCCATTAAAATTATTTGTTTTATTTTATGACTTTTATCACATAGTTCACTCCTCCTGTTCCTCGTAAAATACTTGTTAGTTGTTACCGATAACTGTATGTCTTTGAGTCTTTCTTGCCTTGTTATAACTTATCAGATATTCTCGTCTAAATTAAATTATTATTTTTCACATACTTTTAAGTGTATTTATCTTACTCTTAAAGATAATGCAATATAACCTCACTTTTACTAAACCTCCTATAACTCAGCTATCTGATTGTCAATTTCTATAGAATTTTTAATGAAGAAATTCTTAATTTTGAACCTTTTAATTAATACTATTTTCATGTCTTTACATTGAGGGCCCAGAATTGTATTCAATACTTTCGATCTCCTTTATTACAATCAATATTTATAATTCAAAAGAAATTAAAATGTATTTTTATTGTAATTATAACCATATTATGTTGTAGAAAAACAAAAAAAATTCAAAGTGTGATGGGCTATTTTAACGAAAATGACTAAGTTGTAACACGGAGATTAAATTAAATTTGTCTTTAGAACTTTAATCCTTCAAGTAAGTCATTTAATTAATTAATTTAGTTAGCACTTTGTAAACTGGCAGGACTACGTTTAATACTTGCAATTACTTATATATATTTCTAATTCATATAACTTACTAGAATAATATTATTAAAAATATATGTATGTAATGAAATGACATTTCATTAAACTCAAAGGGCAATGTCCATTTTTGGCCTAGCGTGAACAAGCTGCTATCAAAAAGACAAGTTTATGAAAAAAAAAATTTTTGTTAGCCATTCTATTGTTGTTTGAGTGTACATTTGTATTTTATTGAAAAAATATTTTTAAAGTATCTTCATTGATTTGCTTTATTGATACACGTTTTGTGTTACCAGCAAGATTAATTAACGATTGCGTCAAATCGAATCATCTCGCAGTACTTAATACAACTATAAGTATTTACTACAAAAAAAATATTGAATTGAAATCAATACGAATTTTGAATGTTTGGATTTGTAATACACGCCTTTACCAACTTGGCACATGAGAATTATTTCATGCATTGTGATTGGTCGCTCGAATCGTAGATTAGAATGCAAGGTTTTGACAAATGAGAGATTTTAATTAGGTATTATAATTCGTTTAAATTATCGATAAATGATATTCAATCAATTAGGAATAAATATGAATTGAAATCAACACTAATTTTAAATGTTTGAATTTGTATTAAGCGCCTTAACCAACTTGACACATGAGAATGGTTTCTTGCATTGTGATTGGTCGCTCCCGTCTCATCTCGAGCGCTGCCAGTCATTCCGTGAAACTTGTCACGCGGAATCCTCACGAGCGGAGGCAGGCATAGCGTTCGAGTGAGTGGACCGATCTTCCGTCTCTCTCTCTCTCGTTATACCTGCGATCGCGCTCGTGAGGTTTTGGTGTGACACAAGTTTCTGACCCACCCGACTAAAATGATTTTAAAGACGTTATCACGTCAAAATTAAAAATATTTATTTTTAATTAGTTTCGTCACT